GAAGGATGGTGACTGAATGACAGCCTGCACCAGAGAAGCAAATGGGTCACAGGAGGAGAAAAAAGATGCCCTTATTATAAGAAGGCAAGTCAATTAAAGTGTCATCACAACGGGGTCATCACACCTTCTGTGAATTATGTTTGGAAGAGGAATCACCCTCTCCAATGCTACTTTTATTCTTTCTCTAATGGGCTATAGCTAACATACAATCCTCAGCCCCAGAAATTGAAAGCACATTATTCTGATAATATACTATTTTGATACACTCAGTGTAAGCACGAGTGTAGCAGGCTTTTTCATTTTCCAACTCACAGGGCAACTTTATAAAGTAAACTTGTACCCATCGCCTTCTTACTAGAACATGGCAGTTTTCAGGGGTCCAATGAAACACAGAAACGCATGAAACTCAAACTCATGAAGTTACATTAAAGAAATTATGCAATTCCTTGAGTTTGCAAAGCTTTTGAATGAGGAACTGCATAATTCAGCTGCGGATTAGGTGGGTACCTCTTCGGTTCCTCACAAAACTTTCAAGACCTGACACAAGTTCTGCGGTAGCGGTATTCCCGGGCCTTCTTTCGCTCCCAGTACTCACAGGCAGTGCACGACCGTGCGCCCCTCTCCCCCGTTATACTCTTCCTGCCACTTCTCCACCTGGCGGATGAGCTTCAGGAACGAGCGCTTGGAGACCGGCGTGTCCCTGTACATGGGCCAGCCCAGGAACTGGAACTGCTGCACCATCCGGTAGCCGTCCTGGGGCTGCGCAGGTCCACGCGGCGAGCGGGAAGAAAGAACAGCGGATATCGTGGGTATTTGCAGGTATTTGCATCAGCAAGGCAAGTTGTGCAGGCAGATCACCACTCATAAACTACTGACGTTAATTTCAACTGCCCTTGAGGAGTTATGACTTTTAATTTCCGACAGAGTTATTAGAGTAAGAGGTTTTAAACAGAATGTTATGCAAATAGATTAGAATACAGCTGCAAGATCAAGCAAATAATTAATTAATATCATAGCAGGAAATTGGTAGCGAAGAGAGTTGCAATGCAATTTCAATTATATAACCTCTGTTTTTTACATGCTTCCACATTTTGAAGAATGTTTGCCTGCCTCTTTATAAAAAAAAGGTCAAAGCCTCTCAAGGTATTTTCAAGCAGGAAACATTTTAAAAACCAAACGAAACCCACTAACTTCTCTTGCTTATAAAAACCCGACTACATTTTATTTTATTGTGTGCTACTAAGCAGTGAGAACCCCTCTGGTGAAGTGTTACTGAACAGTTGCTTTATAGTGACTTAAAATAAAAAAAGGGGCATAAAACAAGTCCTAGTGTCAGAAAATTACAGTCCTTTGAAAAAAAAGGCGTAATAAACACACACATGGAAACTGGGGTAGTCCAAGTTTTGCCGCTTCTACTTCCATCCAAATCCAAATGCTTTAGTGCCACTTTTTAAATGAGCACTTTTAAAAACACACGACAATGTTGACAGTATGTGCTAGAGCAGGGGTAAGAGGGAGGAAGTAAGATTAACAAGATAAAGGAATAAATCCAAGTGATGCAACATTAAATGCATTCTTCACTGAATTTTGTCAGTTTTGTCAGTTTTGTGCTAAAATTTGGAACCTGTTGGTTGCCTGACCAGTTTCTCTCACCTGGTTGCTCCTCTCTGCACACAGCCCCAGAGCCTGCTAAAGCTCCCACTGCTGCTTTTGGAAACTCTGTTTTCATGTTGCCCAATTTATTGGGAATCCAAGCCCTTCAAAACACTTAAGAACTATTTTGAGGCTTAAAAACTGCTTTCCAGTGCAGAAATAGCATTCTGGGTATCTCTTTGGAAGTGTTTGTGGCCTTTCTCTCATTGTCTTCACAGTTGTTGGATCCTGGGGCAGTTCCTGGCTTTTCTGGCCCAGGAGCAGTGTGTTTTCCTGCCTGTTGTTCAGCAGCGATACAGCTGCAAAGGCGCTCGCCATCCCATCGGGAAGGGAGGCCTCTCCTGCGGAGGCAGCTTTTTCTTCCCACTCGGCTCAAAAGAGAAGTCTACTCTTCTGCCAACTTTACAGGTCATAGCAGCTGGACATGAGGACAGGCTTGTCCCTTATACACTGCTTACCTGCATTAGTAATTAATGGAACCAGATCTTCACTAAAAGCTTGGGTCTGGTGCTGAGAAACACGCCTAGTATTGATCTTCTCTACATTACACAATACACATACACAAGATGGCTAATTTAAAACTACTGAAAACAGCACTGATTTCAGCATTTGATTACTCATACAATCTGAATAGTGCACTTTTTTTTCTGGGCTCACTTAACAGGCTTGACAAATGGATGTGACATTATTTTTTTTACTGTAATTACACATGCAAGGCCTTTTCCTCATCGATTATGGCATGACCCAGTATTTCACTGTTGCTCTTAAAAAAAAAAAGGCTGAAAAATGAGAATTGTTTATTTGAGTTTGACTTCCTTTTTGTGTGACTTGAGTAGAGACAGCTCCTTTGCTGAGATAAAAGTTTTAAAGAATAAAAAATAAAAGTAGATTAAAAAATCCTTACTCTGGCTGCATTATAAATTCGGAATATCCGGCTGATTATGTCTTCTTCTAAATCAGCTGATACAAACTCCACCTGAATAGGACCATGTCGGTGTACTCCATTTTCTGGCCAGTACTGAGGACATAACTGGAGATGACAAAATCAGAAGAGAGCCAGGTTAATTACCTTCCCTTACACACTACTTCAGGACACTTTCCTAGTTTGTTTTCTGCGGACTACATTTATCCCTTAAGCTCTTCCACATGCCTTTATAAAATACGCAGTGCACCATCCTCCAGCAGTTTTAAACCCTCTGACTCCACTTGTGTGCAACAAGTTTAAACAATTGCCTTTTCACTTACCTGATGGTGCTGTTGCTTGCTGCTCTATTTGCCATTCCCTAGTATTTGGAATAACACATTTTGACACTCAGTGTCAATTCTGCAGTGCGCTCTGACAGGACAGAGGAATGCTGTCAAACATGACCTCATCTAGGAGACAGCGTGAAGCCTGGGACCTGCGCCTCGGTAGCTTCTATTACCCTGATGTTGATAATAACTCAAGCTACACCAGAATGTGTGCTTTAAACTACGCAGACTGCATCAGTTCTCAAATCTCAGCATTTAACTTTCTCATCTCTTCCACCCATCCCTGATGATATTGGCTAATATCAGCATTCCTTCACATTTTCAACAACTGCTCCACTTCGTCTTATGATTGCCAGTTGAAAATAGTAATTATGCTTTCCTTTGTGCTCAGAAAACATTACTTATAGGTATCTAGAGACCACAAAGTAATATATTAGTATTATTTGCCCAGTTTTAGTGTCTCATAAAATCATGGTGGCTTAATCCTGGAACCAATCGTCATCTCTGTTAATACATTAAAAAGTAAATCAAACCTTTCCTGGAAAACTCTGCTTATCCATTTTCCCATAAAGACCCTAATGATTTCCAGAGGCATCTAGGGCAATTCAAGCATGTAGCTTTCACAAACATTCTCCAAAATTTATTATGAACCCAGGAAATTTCAGTTTGCCTGCAGGAGCATTGATCTCCTATGTGGAACTTTATTTCATTCATTCAGCAAAACAGCTGTGGTCCTCATTGTGCTGTATTGCTGCTGGTGATCCAGAGCTGAGCTGACAAAACACACTTTCCCCAGATGTTGTTTTGCATTTCTTATAACACATTTTTCTCAGCAAAGCTACTCAGAGATGATTACATTTCATAAAAACAGTCCTTTACCACATCAGTAAAAAAGAGAACAGACTCTGACTTACAGGTTTTCATTTTAACTAGTTAAAAGCAGAATTTTGAAATAGGAAAATATATTTTCACTTATTAAAAACAAAAGCAAAAAAAGTGGATCAGCCGGCTGAACAAATTACTTTCTAAGTATTGGCTAAATCTTACACCTTTTTTTTTAATGAAATACAATAGTGTATGGGATAGCGAAATACCATAGAGACATGCACGTGATAGTGCTCACATCATTTCATCACATACACAATTCAGAATAGATTTGAATGAACGTATGAATACAGCTCTAAGAGATCCTTGAAAAATGCGCAGATGATCATAAGCAGAGCTGTTTGTTTGCCAGAGCTGTTTTAGGAAGCCACTATTTTCAAGTTCCAACAAAATGCAGAGGCTTTCAGGTCTGGGCATTTTTCATGCATGTGATGCTAGTGGCTCTCCACAAGTCAGAGTCACTGGGAAGGGTTGAGCTTCATTTCCCGAAAGAACATAAAAAGCCACACAAATTGTAATCTCTATACAGAAATGCAAACACTGCATATATACATAAATAATAATAACAGTAATTATTAATAAATCTCAATGTAATGCATGTTTTTAATAAACTCTGCCCTCTTTCCACTTCTGTTTGCTCTGAGGGTTTTGAGATTTATTCCTAATGAAAAGATTGTTACTTGCATTAAAGGGAAAAGGTTTAACATACTGCAGCAGCAGGTGTATTAACTGCATATCCCAACAGCTTTTAAGAGCCTGTGAGGCTAATAAGTGCTTGAAATAGCCAAGCATTATTGTACATTCAGAACACAGCTTGCAAATTAAAAAAGCTCTGTTCAACAGTCCCTAGCAGTCTGACTCCCCTGAGTCTTTCCTCATTCACTTAGAAAATAATCTTAGATTCATGAATAAAAGTTTTCTCTTTCATTTCTATTTTTCTCCCCACAGAGACTTAAGGGCTAGTATTCAGCATTTCAGTCTTCAAAACAAAGTGTAGAATTTATAGACATTCCTTTGAAAGACAAAACGGAAGATTATTATGTTTTTAAAACAAAATCTTCACATTAAAAAGAAATAACATGAAATATTTTTCTATGTATGAACAGTACTCAACAAAGCAAAAAAAAAAGATTTTGAACATATCAAGAAAAAATATGACACGAACTGTGTTATTAAAAAAAAATCCACTGTTATCTGAAGCAGTAATGAGCAAATATTTACATATCTGGGGTCCAGATTACCACCACATTATTCCAGCACAGGGCTAATGTAATTCACTGGAGTAAAGGAAATTATATCAGTACAGGAATGTAGAATTGCACAGTGGCAAGCTAGGATCTAGGATGCTTAGTGATTAATGCTAGTGATTAAACTGCCAAACAGGTAGCTACAGTTTTCCAATTTTCTAAAGAACATGTACAGCACGAACAACTCTTTTGTAAGGTAATTACATTCCCCGATGTGTTTCTTTGCCCCGTTTCCTCTTCTGAAGGGTGCTCAGTTTCTGTTCTTGTTCAGTTCTTATCTCCTTTCTAACAATATCATTTTGTGCCAAATGTGACACCAATTTTCTGGCTGGAAACACCTATCTGTTATTAAGCAGACCAAGGTCAGTAACCTGTTTCAGGCAAGCAAAGAAAAAGCTTGCATTTATTTATTTGTTTGTTTGTTTGTTTGTTTTTACTGCTGTCTTTCAGATTTGAGCCAGAAATTTACAGCCAAAACATTTTGGTTTGGATCTGCTCTTCCCAAAGCACTTTTTCCATTCAGAATAAATTACGGGGGGTGCACGCATGCACGTGTACATTAGGTTTTGCTGGAGAAGCTGCTGATGCTCCTGTTTATTCTTATTTCCCACGTATATCTGCAAGCTACGAATATTGCTGTTAGTGTGTTGGTGTTTAATGTTTTTTATAAAACTAATTATGTCCCAAAGTTGTTCTAAAGTGCACGTGTTGCAGTGCTCAGGCACTAACACTTCTGTGGTGACAGGAGGAGATTTCTAGACTTACTTGTGCTGGATCCACGTCATTCAGCATAACTATTGAAGTGCAGTGATAATCTAGGACCAATCTCCAGAAATCTTTGACAGTATTTGGTAAGGGATGCTGTGTAACTATAAAAGCTGAAGGCTGCTTGTAGCTCTGCAAAGAAACAAAAAGAGATACTAAGAGAAAACAAAAATCCATTCAGCAAAATGCTAGTAATATCCCCAAAACATCAGAATTAAACGTATTATTTTCTATATAATTCATACAATGTTTTAGCTCTTTCCTGAGATATTTTAAGTTTATGAGCTAATAAACACATTTCGGTAGAATATAACTTCTGCAGTTTATATTTCTGAAACTTGTTTCATGCCACGGGCATAGAGTAAAAGCATCAGAAGTCTTTACCTCTAATGAAACTCCTACAGAATCTGAGCAACAGTTTTGCTTTGAGCTGTTAATGGTCAGATTAACCTTGTCTGTCTGCTCTTAGCTGTTGATTTGATTGACTCCTATGTAAGGAAATACCTAGTTATTTTCCAGAAATATTGTTCAAATGCTGGCCTATCTGACAACAGTGAGGATACACAGCAGATAAATTTCAATGTCCCTTCTCTCTTTCTTTTTAATACCAGACTGTGTGATTGACGGTGCTGTTTGGTGGAGGGGTGAACTGTGAATCTCACACTAGAGTTTTCCCTGACATCCTCCTGAGTGTTGAAGGCTGGCACGGGCCATAGGGGGGCAATTGCTGGGAAGGTTTCTCACTGTTTTTACTAAGGAGGGCAAAGGGTCCTCTGAACTTCAGTATTTGTATCACGACAGGGCTACAGTCTACCAGGTATTCGCATCTTTCAGAAGGGCTTCCTGAATAGGCCACAGAACAAGAATCTTATTCGGTGTTTTGGGGTAAAGATGAAGACAAGCAAGACTCCAGGTCTTTGTGCCGGTTTCAGCAAACCGCAAGCAGCAGGTATCAGCGCTGCCGCTGTACCCGTCAGCTGCCTCCCATCCTGCTGCTCCTCAACTACTGCAAGTTGCACACAGACGTGGGCTGCCAGAGGGGCTCTCTGGTACTCCCTGCCCCAGAAGCACTAGCAGTTTTTTGCGGGGGAAATCATTATCTTCAGTCTAGTGGAATCCTGGTACTGAATATTAAAACTTTGCTTTCTACCTGCTTTGCCTGAAGTGATCTTTAAAGGCTTGCACAAGGTGACCTGACCTGGTCTGGATGGCAAGTGTCCCAAATCCCTTCCTCCCATGGATCCTTTTGTCCAGGTACACTTTGGGATCCAGTTCACCGTTTGTTTCAAGAGTAAGGACTCACGGCAAAGGAAGCATTTTCAAAGCAAATACTGAGGCTCTGACCTTTCCGAGCAGCGCTTAATTTACAGAACAAAACCATACTGAACTCTGTGGCAAAGAAGTCAGTGCAATGGCAGGATTGTAAACTGCAGAACAGGGATGCACCATTCCAATATAAACGTGCCACTGACCTACCGTGCCAACCCAGAGAACTCGCTTAAGCTTCTGTTCTCAGCTTCTCTAGACATATAAATAAAGATAACGCACTTACCTTTTTACAGGAGTGTTTGGAATTTAGGATTATATTAAGAAAATGCTTTGAGAACTTAGAGGAAGGAAAAGCAAGGGCTACTATAAACTATTAATACTCTAGATTCATTTCTCAAAAAGGCCATTTAAGAGGTGTTAATTTCTAACCTCTGTTCTCTCCTTTTTTATGTGTGTGTTAAAATCATGATTACTGTAGATCTGAATTGTCAAAGATTCACAGACTGTAAAGATGGTTTAAGTGTTTTCTTACTAATATTTATTAGCAGGATTAGAATTACCATAGATGCTTTTAAAGTAATCCACACACAAGTGAAGAGGAACCATTCATTCAAACAGAAATAAACAGAGACTGAAGTAATGGCTCATAATGGCTCATGTACTATCTTGTACTGACAGACATTTTTTTTTTTGTTAATTGCTGTTTAAATTAGAAGCAAAGGAAACTAAATTATTGCTGCAAACCTTATTATCCCATTTAACTGCCCTGGTGGCTTAGTAGGTAACTTTTTTTCTTTTCTCCCTAGGTCAGACAGTTAAAAATTAAAGCACTGAAGAGAAATCTAGACACATTCAATTTATCAAGAGTCCCTGACATGCTCTCTGAGCATGGCTTTAGAACCTTGGCTCTGACAGAACATATGTGGGATCTTAAATGTGCTTGGGAGTTTAAAGATTTTGTGCCATGTTTTTGGGAAACAAGCTAGAAGGATATCAGCCCTCTTGTGCTGACTCCACTTTCTGGCACTGCTCAGTTTGGAGGGCAACTTATTCCCTTTTATTATTAATGATGTGGTGGAGACTTACATCCATCAGCGCAGCATTAATGTAGTTACTGCTCTCCCCATCTATCGTTATGAGGAAGGGCAGGCATCTGTCTGGAGGCAGAACATCCATACAGCGATTCTTTTCATGATTTCGTGGTAAAAGTGCTATGCTGCAGTCTTCCACACGCAGCGTCGGAGTCACCATATTTAAAGTCTTTCAAAAAGAATAAACACAAGAGAAAAAAATAACTCAGGTGTGAAATCCCGAAATACTTAAGAATACTTAAGAACAGATGAACTCAGGGCACAATTTCAGTGGGAATCAACATGCGGAGGAATGAAAACCCATCACAGTTGGTAGGGTTTGGATGCAAAACCTAGAAGCACACACATCTCAAAAATAACCCCAAAGACAACTGCACTGTACACTGCCTTCTGGAGAAAGGGCAGCAGAAGGAGTAGGCATAGCATTTCCCTGGAGGAAAAGATTTTATTATTATTCCATTGCACTCTTTTTGATTTAACATAACTCAATAGCAAACTGTGACACGTTATTTTCTCTTTTTTGGCAGGTCTTCCTTCACAGATCTGGTCCAAAATTCGTACGATCATAAGCAAACACTAAAGGCAGAAGCCTTCAGTATACCTGAACTGCATAGCTTGTAAGAACAGCTAACCACAACTTACCCTAAATTCCTCTTTGATCTGGCTGGAGTTGGTCTGAGGATCCAATTTGTTCATTTCATAGTAAACAGACCTAACTTGAGAAGCTGGAACAGATGTGTCCCCACAAAGACAGGCTTCCAGGATGGCATCATGGATGAATACATACTGTTCCTGGTAAAGCAATTAAAATAATTACTGATGTAGAGAACATTTTCTATTAGAATTTTGGTAAATAAAAAACAGCGAATAGGGCTGGCACTCTGATTCTCACTGACTTCACTGACACTGCACCAAGCCCAGCCAAACAAAAACAGTTCACAGAACTTTATCCCATGCATACAGAAATGAATAGAGGTTTCTATCTCCACTCATTCATTCTAACTGCAAACTATTTGCAGTTACAAACAGCAGTGCAGTAAGTAAGTTCTCTGCACTAAAACCCAGAATGTTTGTAGTTTCCTTATTCTGCACAGCTTTGTAGGTGCTAACATGTAACTGGGCCTCAACGTGACTCATCCCAGAATGCATTCTCCCTCTGGAGAGGTAACACTCATGAGCTTCTTTTGTCTTAAAACCATTGCAAACATTAAATGTAAGACAATTATGCACTTGTTTGGGCATTGGTTGCTCATGTCGGTTGCCCTTTCTACATGTGATTCAGTGAAATACTTCATGGATGGTGCCTACCACAAAGGGCTCTGGTCCTACACGCTGGGATAATACCTTTTTTTTTGCAAATCAATATTGCAATATTCCACCAGATGAACAGTACCTCAGTCTGCACCATGTTAACTCTCCGAGATCGAAGCTCCCTCACACAGTTGTATATGTCCACGACGCCTTCTCTTTCTGCCATGTCAAGCATGATGTCAATAACAATGAAGCATCCAGTTCTGCCAGCACCAGCGCTGAAGTGAAAGAAGAGCAGAGTTACTGTTCAGCAGAGCCTTGGAAAACATTAAGTGCATGGGTTCGTCTTGCAGGTACTTGACCAGTGGGCTCACTGCTGAAATCACATTTTGCATCCAAGCACTGCAGGATTTCAAACTCAATTTGACCATTGCTTTTTATACTCTAGGTAGCAAGTTACTGTGCGTAGCTCCAGCGACTTTAGCAGCCTGTTGCAGGAGGAGCAAAATTACGCCGTGAGTTTAGGGGAAAACACAGCAGAGAGACTCCTGTTCTGCCTACCTGCAATGGACAACCAGAGGGCCAGCGTTTGGGGGGCTCTTGGATTTGACCTGCCGCACAAATCCCAGTAGGCCGGTTGCATGGTACGGCACACCGTGGTCTGGCCAGCCAGTGAAGTGAAACTGCCGAATTTCTCGGATCTCATGAGCTCCTCTCTGTCAAGAAGACAAGGGTTGGAAAAAGAACAAGTTGGAATACGAAGATGATTTTAAGAATGGCATCACATGATTGTAAATATAAAAACCTGAGTTTTGCTGAAACCCTGCCAATATACCCCTCTGTATAGTCTGTTGAAGAGCTTTCCAATAGCTAGACAGCAAGCTCAAAGGTTACATATCAGTTGGTTTCAAACTCTTACAGTAAAACCGAGTGGTTTAGAAGTAGGCTGCTTACAAACTTGGCAACAAGATAGACACTCATCTCTATATTTAATCACCAGGTCACTTTGAAAACTCTGGCCTTAAGAGACATGTTATGATAACACAACGGGTCAACAGCAAGCCCATGAAAAGACAGCACAGATGAAAAATTCCCCCCTCTTCTCCACAGGAATGTTGCTGTTGCATTCAAGGACCTCTAATTTCAAAATAATTTTCCTTATATTATTTCTCCTCGGTAAGTCCAAAAGAAACAGCTGAATGGTAGGAAACCTCTGTGCACCTCCAACCATATGGGCTGCATTGGCAGACCTCCAGATGCTCAACCATCATGTGATTTACTGCAGCAATGGCATTGATATGGTGAGACAGGTATGAATGAGAAGCTGATCATGCAATTTCCCGTGTGGCTTTTTGGAACAGTCCATATATTAAAAGGGAATGTGCTAGGTATGATTTTCTTAGTGATAGTATTTCTCCCTCCCCCTTTAAAATTGTAGCTGCCAATATTTTATTCTCATTAAGAGTCTATGGACCAGAGGCCATCATACATATTTCATAACCAAATAGCATTATTATGACATATCATGTCTAGGTTGTGCTAAATGTCAATGATATTAATAACTGGTGGTTTACAGTTTTTCTTCTTAAAGATGTATTTCTTATCTCAAGCTAGTTTGCATATAAAAAGTCTAAGTCTCTGCATAATGAAGTAATAAAAATGTCCTAGTTTATTGATAGCCTGCAAGTCAAGAGAGTCAGAAATCATCAATGGTGGAGAAATTTTGGCCCTGCCAGCACTACAGGGCTGGAGGTAACTAAGGCTCTCTTGTAGACCTGGTTCTCTTGACAGCTCAGATGATTGGAGGTCTGCTCAGATTCGGGGTCTGCCCGTGCTCATCTCCCATTGAAACTCCAATGCAAAAAGGCAGGTCAAAGAGCAAAAAGGCAGGTCAAAGAGCAAAAGAGGATGTCATATGCAACGCTGGTATAGATGGAGGAAACCATGTCCTAGTAACCAAGATGGCCTCATTCCCAAAGGACAAGTTTGAGACATATTGAAGCCTGCAAACAAAGTGATTTTTATTTCAAGACACCATTGCAAACACAGTCAAATGCAACTTGGTCTCCGTCCTCGGGAGATGTGTGCTAGTTAACAGATCCTTTTGCTGGTGCAAGCCAAAGTCTCCAACTCGGTAAAGAGCTGTGTGTGTGTGGGGACACCCAAGTACAACCCCCCCAAGAAACAAACACCGCAAAAACACCAAAACGTGGTGCTGCGACTGTACAAGTGCAGGGCTAAAACGAAGGCCCAGCACAAAATCCCTCATGCTGTAAAGGGCCTGGATTACGAAGCGATTCGCAGAACGCAAAGTGTGCCCCCAAAATAACGTGCCCGGCTGCTGCACAGAGCACACTTCCCATGCGAGCTGGGGGCTGGTCTTGTAAATGCTCTACCATGCTAACTGTATTTTTGTCTGTCATTGTTGGTCATACGCCGCTACTTAGAAAAGGTTTTGCATATTGGGTTCTTTTATAATGAATTTGCTTATTATACCTACAAAAGAACGATTTTCATGTCTGTAGCCTCCCTGCTGGTTTCCAAACCCAAAATAGCAACACAACTGCATGAATCATAAAAGCATATGTTCAGCTTGAAGACTGTATTTTTCACTTTTTCTTTTGGCTGAAACAAACAGAAAAATGGTGCACATTTCCAGCAATTCCTAGGATGTTAAGAAATCTAAGCCCGAATCCTACAAATACTTGTGGTGCTGTGGTATGTTACTATCCGATAACTGTTATATTGTAATTCTAAAAGAATTGCGCGTGCACACAAAATGAAAAGTATCTAGGAACTGTTTTCCAGGATCAGAGTGTAATTTTCAGTTCAACTTTCTCAGTTTATTCCCCTACTCCTCAAAAATATCCAAATAATCATTTAAAAAAAGGTCAAAGAATGTATCCCCATACATATAAACTTCCAAATTTTATTTTAAGGGCAGATTTGAGAATGATCATCCATAACCGGGTAGAGTTATAGAAAGGACTGTCAGAAGGGACCTCTGGAGGGCTCCAGTCCAACCTCCTATTCAGAGTGGACTGATGCCCAGCACAAGCCTCTTAAGCTCCAACTTTTGGGCCCCATTCATCACCAGGGAGAAGAATTCGGCACCACTGACTTTGCAAATGTCTTTGGAGCAGTTGTTGCCATTAGATCCCCCTCACTCTTCTGCTTCCTCCTCTCTGCAGGGCCAACAAGGCCAGCTCTCCAGCCTCTCCTTGTAGTCCTACTATGTCCTTCAGTAGGGAGGGTCCTGAATGAGGACAAATTGTACCAATCAGGAGATATGTTATGAATTGCCATAATGTTGAAGGTGGGAGGACACAGTTGGCTCACACTCAATTTGGAGTGGACTGTAACCCCCAGGTCCTCTGTCAGTGGTGGTGGTGGTGGAGCTACCAGGCAGTTCCCAGGCTGTACTGATGCACAGGGCAAGGTGCAGAGCTTTGCATTTCTCCTTGTTGAAAGCCTGGCTGAATTTCCAGGCCCCGTGGAACTGAGGCTGCAGTGTTCAGCATTTCGACACTGCACTTATCTGCAGCCTCTAGGGTGGGGGCTGTCTTGTAACGCGGGTTGTCGATGAAGATGCTGAGCAATACCAGTCCCAACAGATCAGAAACCTAAACTTCAGAAAATTAAAGTGTAAGAGATGTGCAGCCTTGACCTTTCAGTACTACCAGAGCAGCTAGAAAATAAGGTAAATGGGGTAAAAACAAATGCACTTTACTCAAACTACACTGACACTGCTTTCAGTGGCTTACTGAAAAGCTACCAACTGCTAAAAAAAACAGTGTCTAAATGAAATCTTTTCAGATGGAGATTTTTTTAAAGCAATAAAATGTTTAGCGCCTTTTATCTTTATCTGTTTTAATGCACTTATTCAAGACAGTTTGGTTATGAGTAACTGTAAAATCCTCTAGGTCTTTTTTTTCCACTCCCCGTTAAGAAGTGGAAAGCTAACATCAAAGCATGGCTTAAAATCTGCAGAATAGAAATCAACCAGTGTTGCATCTACTTCAAAGTGTAGCCACATTTCTCATCTGTTTATTAAAAATATCTAAATGGAAGGAAACAACAGGATTGAATGAACCGAAAGAACAATATATGTGGTGGTATACACGCCACAATATTTCAGATCACTCCAGCTGTATAATTTTATTATCATTGCACTCAGGTTGCTGTATTCATGCATATTTAACTACTAGACTGAAGAATGAAAGAGGAAAAAAGACTAATTGCTTTGTTATCATGGATATATGTATGTACACAGAGGCCTCTTTGGAGGTTTCATTTACCTGGGTTTTTATTTGCTTCGGTTCAGGAGTCTTTGATGCAAAAGATCATTCTTTGAGACCATAACTGAATGCTACCTCATTTTAGAAATAATCAGTATGTGATGGGTATTGCTACTAAATCAAAGGCTGTTTTCTGAGAGAATTAGTTGAAGGTCTGCTCATGGAGACGCTGAGTGAACATTATTTCAGTGCACATTTGGGAACCTCTGGTGTCCAAAGAGGCCCTTTTCCTTTGCTTTGCAGCTCAGGTTAAGTGCTGATCCGTACAGTTAACACACTTCTGTCCTTTGGCAAGAATTCTGAATAAAGCCCCTGAAGTGGCACAAAAAGCCTGACATACTTCAGCTAATATTAACACACTCACCTTGTTTTCACTTTTAGTAAGTAAGTACCTTGTTCGTTATTTTCTGTTGTTCGTATATTATAAGATGCTTAAGAAAGATGTGCGATCTGGTAAACATCAAAGTAAATAAATGGCATATTTTTCTAATAAACAGGAATATGATATGCGGGTAGGAACTCCCTAGCTAAAGGAAGACTCCCTATTAAAAGTGGCATTGGCTTGAAAAAGAAAGGTAGGTTTGTTACACAGAAGTGTCGCTGCACAGCAGCACCAGCAGATTGCAGGGCTGGACTCCCGAGCATCACTGCCCGCAGCTTTGGGTACAGGGGCAACATGACTGCAGCCAGCACGACACGGGGAAACTGCACGATGGTGGTTTGCAAGGAATGGCTGGGAGGGAGGCTGCGATTGCTCCTGGGCAAGGACCATTTCTTCTTCTAACTCGAGCAGCAGCCAGTGGTGACAGCAAAGGGGAAAAAAAGCACCTGAGCTTAAAGAAAATCGCAGTCTGCCATAAGAGGGCGCCAGGTGATAACTCAAAAAAAAGCTACAAAAAAGCAAGCTTTCAGTCAACAAATTTAAGTTTTCCACGTTGAACTTGTGTATAAGTTGCTCAGGCAGGTAACATTATACGGAGAAAACCGAATTTTCTTAACTTACCTTTTCTACTGCAAATGTTCGAATCACGTATTCAGCCAGGAGTTCTGTTTCTATTAGGGTAACTTTAATGTCTTTATATATCTCTGTGTCATCTGGCCAGTATTTGCAGCATTTGACCTTTTAAAAATACAAAAGAAATTAAGATTCATTTATTTTAGAAGGCTCATGCTGAATCCCTCCTTTATTTTTTTTGCAGTGATCTATGTTTAAAAACTCAATCATGCACAAAACACCTCCTACATGTGCAAATGGCTTGCGTTTAAAGGACATGAGCTCTTTTTTTTTTTTTTTTTTTTTAGGCAGATTTCTGAGTTGCAGATAGTATTTGTGTTGTATTTAGCAAAGAAAGGCAAATTTATACCGAGCGCAAGGGATATTTATATTGTGCCTAAGCCAGTCACAGTAACTGTTCATTTCCTGTGCTTTCCAGCTCAGGGTGTGACCAGTGGGAGAAACTACCACGTGAAGCTTTTTTTTTTTCTGCAACCACTACTCATCGATTTGTTTCTAAAATATCTTATTGTCCTCTAAAATAAAAATGCGCTTTTTGAGCAGTACGGATCCTCTTTAGTGTTAGAAAATATCCTTTTTTTCAGATTAACTTTTCCAAGAAGCTATGGAGAGGCCAAATGGCAAAGCCCAACACTTGAAGTCAAGAGCCGCGTTTTACTGCTGGGCATTCACGCCTTTCCCTGAGGCAATCCCAAACAGGGGACTCATCTCACCTGGCTGCAGCTGCGGTGGGTAGGACACACACCCTCTGGAGCTGCCTTGTTTGCCTTGTAGGTGGCTAAGGCGAGGTGAGATGACTTCCCCTCTTCCTACCTTCTGTAGGTTTCTGGAGCTTGGCTTTCTTGACATTTATTTTTTTTTTCCTAGACACGGGGACAAAACGATAGTGGGCCCTGTAAACTCTCTCAAATTTCCTGAGCTCTGGTGTGGTCTACGTGCGATGGACTTCACAGTATTTTATGCATGCACTATTAATCTGCTATTTTATTAAACTGGATGGCTGAGGAGATTGTATATTAGCATCCAGATAGCTAGACATACTTAAGACTTCTCACCTCCTTCCTGCCTGTGTGGACAAGGTGGTGGGCGGAGAAGCTAAAAACATTGATTGCGTCACCACATTTTATTCTGCTCTATTACAGGAATAGCTTTGCTATCAGCACTGCAACTGGCCATCGTCCAGTAGGGTCGTACCTGCTAGGAGCTGCATTTGTTACACATCTGCTATGTGAAATGTTTTCTCTCTCCCATTATCCCACTGAAAGGAAAACTGTAAGTTGATTGTTTCATACACATAAGTAGACTGAGTTACTTAAACATACACTTAAATGGGTCGTATTAAAAAAAAACTTCAAATTTTGAATGGAAATTGATACTAATTTAAAAAATATATTAAACTTCAAAACTGTAAGAATACTTCTCAAATCCATTATCATGACAAAATATTTGGATTACTATTACATCTAGTCTTGCATAAGAGGTAAAAACATGTATATGGGCACACACTGAAAAGTGTAAATTCAACAGATTTATTTATACAAACTCCAGGTTTAATGTATACAGGACTGTGCAGAGAGTTGAACTTTGTCCTGTGAGGCAGAAGAAAACACCTTCCTCAGAAGCTGTTTCCTGTGCAATAGCTGATGATCACCATCAACCTCTGCCTGGGCAGAAGGCAGCTCTTGCCACACCAAGACGTAACGCTGGTCGATGAAACCAAGAATTTGTCAGGACATGGCCAACTGTTCAGAAGTCACAAACCTCACCAAATTATGATCCAAAGGAAGCTCTTTAGCAGGATAAGACTTAAATCTGAACCGAGATTTGAGTGAGAGTTTGGAAAAACAGAGCCCCATACTAGGAGACTTTCCTTCATCTTAGGGACTGGCTCCCATCCACAAAACTATGCAAGCATCCTTACAGCTTATTCCTGTGTGTACGGCTGAGAAAAAGCTCCTACAGCAGACTGGAAGTCCACATAGGTCTAAGCAAGATTTCACTTCTTTCTCCATGCCCATCTGCAGACCTAGTAACTGCGTTAGCACTGGCTGAGAAGCCCTTCTTTATGTTTTCCTTAACATTTCCTAAGGACTATCTGCAAACAACAGGTCCCACAGCCCCTTCCACACGGGGAACCCCTCAGCGCTCCGGGACCAGATGACAAATTTGTGAAAACTTCTCCCCCCAGCTATTGCACCGACTGGGAGCTGGGGGGCCACCAGCAGGGATGAGGTGGTTGCCAGCATCAGCACCAACCCTGGAGCCCCTCTCCAGCTTTGGGAGTCCTGTCCTTTAGGCATCTGGATGGTGCCTAACCCTCAGGACCGCTAGCAAGCCTGTAGTCCATCTCCATGCCCACTGCTGATGGCGAGCAATGAACAACCAAGGCAGAAGCATGAAGAACTGCAAACAGTTTGCTGGTTGTTGCTATTTAGATTTTCTCTTTTTTTGGATTAGAAAAACAGTGGTAGAGGCCACACGAAACACACAGAAGGCTCGTTGTTTAGGCTGTATTGTTAAAATAACCCAGACTATTCACGTTGCTCAGATGCCTCCTGCCAGCAAGCTCACCCTTTGCAGTCACTGCTGGGAACTCCCTGAAACGGGTTTTTCCTACCTATGACTAAGCGGAGGTTTTGCCTCTCTGTGCAGAATAAGCAGCCCCGTCTCCGGAGCTCATTTCCCTTTCCTGCCGCCTGGTCCTTTCCATAGGTGGACCCTGCGCCACGCGAGCCGGGAAGCAGCAGCGACGGCTGCGGCGCAGCGAGC